GACTAGAATATAAGTTTCAAAGTCCTTTCATTTGCTTGAGTTTGATGTAATGCCGGTGATAAAGTTACAGTGGTATATCCTAAGAGACATATGACATCATGGAGAATGGCAGCAGAGGACACCATTTTTAGGGAACTAACATTTATTTTCTGCTTACCTCCTCTTTCAAGCAAGTGGTCAACTTATATCAGACAGTGACTTCAAAAAGGTTTCTTGATAGTTTTGCTAAATTAATCCCAATGTTGCTTTCAAGCTGATTCCCAACTTAATAAGATTTCCCTTTTCATCCTGGAATGGAGGTTCTGACAATAATGATTTTGAATGAAAAACCTAATGTCTCTTCCATGGCTTTGCCAGTATTTGAGGCTTGTCTTATGAATTCCCTCCATGAAATGGGTTCTTTACCACATGACAACATTGAATCATTATGCAGTAGTAGTAGTAATTTATTTACAGCTTTTGCTAAAACATTGCAATACAATGAACAGTAAAAATTACATTTAATAATAAAATGTATATAATTTATCTTCTTTTTTTTTTTTTGCTAAAAGCATAAAATAAGGTTATACATTCTTCCAGTTTAAACAGATGTTTAAGCATTAAACAGAAAATTAGATCATAATATACAATGATACAAGAATTAGATAAAATGAAGCTGTGGGCAGTAAAGTAAAACAGGAAAATTCTATTTGATTTTGGCTCTTATTCTTTGTGCAAATAATACAAATGCACATACAGAGTATAAGACAGGCTCTGAGTTATTAGAGGGAAGCCAAGTTGTGTTTTCTTCAGTATTTAAAATGTTCCACTATTGAAGAGATCCATTTTCCTCTTATTCCTTTAAAGAAGGAATAAGACCACGAATAGTGATTTAAGTAATCTATCTTATTCTTCCCACAAGAACATATTCCGTCTGAATAGGGGGCCTGACACCACCTGCCCAGAACAACTGCAGATCTCATTAGAATGAATCGCAATCTAGTACTGGCCTCTCCTTATTGGTTTCTTGTTTTGTAACACAGATAGATGGGTTTCTAGTCCAAATGAGAACTTTGTTAACCTCAAAAAAGAGGAAGCTTGCGAAAGTCTCATTTCCTGCATACCTGTCTTTGTGCTGGCATCTTTAATTCTTAAATGTATTAAATGTACTAAATTAATTCTTAAATCATGCTGAAAATATTAGGTCAGTGATCCTCAGTACATTACCTATGTCATTTGTTTGGAAGATATTATTTAACCATCCAAACAAGGGTTTATATTTGGATAAGGACACTAAAATACATTTTTAGAGTATCTAGTAGACATAAAAGATTTCATTTTCATCTAGTAATTTAGAATTCTTAATTGAGCTAATGGGCTTACATTGATCAGTCCCATTTCAGAGCACATGAATAACTATGTTAATTGAAAGAAACTGCCATAAACTCCTCATACAACAGTTTATACAAGGATTTGCCAATTAGGCACAAAATAAATATTCAGCTTCCATCTCAAATGTTCTGGCATTACTTTTAACATGTTTAGTATTCAGATTTATACCTCTGCATTAAGTGTTATGTTTCTTGAGGCAAATGTATATCTAAGTGTCTTCAAGGGCAACTACAGTAAATTAACAGACCTATCTCTGCTAAATACAGTGATTACTCCTTTCACTGTTCTAACTCCAAACCAACTTGCCCATGTGTAGGAGCCAGCTCAGGTGAATTCCTTGATTGAGCTTTATGGAATTTCCTCTAGTGTGTGAGAGTCACTGTGCATGTTGGGGAAGAGAGTGTTTTTATTTTGGTAGTTTTGGGCTACTCTGCTGGGTCCCTACTTGACTGCTCAGCTACAGATCTGTCCACTTTATGTTCCTTCTAAGAAGACTAAGAACACTTCGGGCATTGAGGAATGGTGGGCATGTGTTGGTTGCAAGTCTTTGAGGTCATTGGGGTTTTGGAGAGGAAAGTGGGAAAGGGTAAGACAGTTGGTCTTGAATTAAAATGAATTAAAATGTCTTATTTCACCTTCATTTAGCTCCTAGAGGCTTGGGCTGCTTGATTGGTACCATTCATGCAAAACGGCTGTGTTCTTAGCCACTGGAAAGATCCCATAGGGTTTTTCTCCTGTGGTGTTTGATGAGGTTCTTTCTTGCGCTATATCCTTCTTCCCCAATCACATTTTTTTTCAATATGCACATAAGTCCATTCAGCAGGTTACGGAGGAGCCAGTCATACAACTGTATTTCATATGACTCAGTCCCTGTGGTAAAATGCCTGCCCAAGTATTTGGACATGGTTGGGGATGAATGAAAGTTAAATGGCTGAAGCATAATCTAGATAACATGAAACCAGTGATGGTAGTATGAAGAGAGCAGTCCAAAGCTATGATGAAGATTAGATGTACACAATTAACTTAATATGTCTCTCTGCCTTTGCCACTAGTATTTATAGTCTTGGAATGATGTTTTATCCCCAGGTTCTGTTAAATAGCAATCAGTTCATTTTTACAGAACATGGAGTTTCTTGCACTGAGCATGACATTAGTGTTCTGTGATGACAGATTCATGGTTTGTGTGTGTTTTAGTTTTATAAAACTTAAAATAATTTTGGGCTTTCCTGCTAACTTTGCTTCTGTCTCTACTACAATGCCACACTTCATACCAGCAGCAGTTCTTGAACTGGACATGGGTAGTGGCTAGCAGAGCATCTTCCATGAGGGTCTGTAATTAGATCCTTTACTCTGCTGTCCTTTGCAGGCCAGTTAGCTCTGCTAGTAATTCCTCAGGAAGTTCAGTTCCAACCAAACAAGTTTAGACAACTTTGTGTCTGATTACGCAAATAGAACAAACCAAAATCCTCTATCCTTTCCAGACATTAGGAGAAGAGTTACTTTCTGCCCTGGTTTTTCCCCAACAGCCTAGCTTCTTCTCCTTGCAAGCTATTTCCTCACAACTTGCTTCCCTTCTGCTCTCTCCTCAGGGGTTTTAAGTAGAGGTGTGCAAAATGGGCCATATTCAATTCAGATTTGGATTCAGCTTGAATCAAGGATAGTGATTCAATTTATTGATCTGGATCACTGTCCCCAATTCAATTCAGCCAAATCTGAATCTGACGATTTGATGCAGGTTTGGAGAATCAGCAATTCAGCCATAGACGCAGCTTTAAATGTTTTTTTTACATACCTCGAGGTACCGGCATGGCTCATGAATGCTGCAATGCTGGGGTGCTTGGAGCATCCCACAGGAGCATGGGGGGTGAGGGGGGTGCTTGGCAGCAAACCCGAAGTGGACCCACTTCTGGGTCCACTGCCAAGCATGCTGGGGGCACCCCTGCACCCCAGCTTGGTGATCAGCCATGTGGGGACCTTGGGTACCCCCAGACCCAGAAGGCACCAGTAGTCAAGCCGGGGAGGTGGGAGGGGGGGGCCCAGCATGCTCTCCAGCGGACCCAGAAATGGACCAGAAGTGTATGGCTGTACACTGGCCTCTCAAGAGACTCTATTTTTTCAATTAAATTCAAAGTCTTACATGTTCTAAACCCAATAATAGGCACCAATTTTATTGGAACAATTATGAACTGAACCTTTACCATAGTAAACTGCTTAACAGTTCACATATGTGTTTAATTTATTCCCTCAATAATAAAATGGTGTTACCTTAGCCTGTGCCTCTGTATTCAATTTAAAACTGAACATCAGTCTATTTATCTCCAAAGTGAATGTCCAGTCCTCAGATAAACTGACTTTCTTTCAGCATTCCAGTGAAGAATTCCTCCACCTTTTCATTGCATAAGTTGTGCGCTATGTTTTTTTGTGATGTCCATCCTGTTTCTGTATGCAACTCTTGCAAAATTGTTAACTCTATTGAACTTGTGCAGCACTTTTCAAATGGTGGACACTGGATAGTGTTATATCTCCAAGCAACTCACTTTTGCTTCTGGTGATCTACTCTGCAGCGAAGTTCTCTGCACTGTGCTGTCTATGCATTGCTTTGGGCCTCAGTGATTCTGTAATCCTGTCCAGTTCAGTTGGCTGGTCCTTCAGCTTCTGCAGTCTGATATTCATAACTAACAAATCCTGGCAAAGTCTAGTTGCTTGCTCCAAAGTGAGTTCAATATGTTCTAACAGCTTTTTCCTAAACTGTATATCACTGATCTCCAATAGAATGTGGTCTTTAAAGGTCTGTTAACTCTCCAAAGTTACAAGTCTGACTCATATGATCTGTCCACAAAATGGCCCTTCACAGTACTAACATTTCCACAGTATTCATTGGCCCTTCCCGATGTCCAGTTCTTTCTATCCCTATCCATTTCTCTACGAGCACATCCTCCTTAGTCTCTGTAGCTCTTCTCTTTCATTTAGCCTCTCACCTCCCTGCACTTGCTAATTCCTGGCTCAACAAGCAGATCATGAGCTAACACCCAGAATGCATAGTGTTCATGGAGAATTAAAGGTTTCCATCTGTGTGAAAGTCAGAATTGGACAGAATTTTTTTAATGTAAGAATAGCATTCTGCTCATACCGCTGCTGGAAGGAAGGGTTCTTGGACCTTCTGCATGAATACCCTTTGTAAGACACCCTTGGAATCATCTGTTCTCCCCAGTATCAACATTGGAACTGGTCCATTTCCTATGTCTTAAAATCAATAGAAGCTCTCTAGATAAAATCCAATTCCTGTGCATTGCCTTGAAAAATGTAAGGGCTAGATTATATATCAGTTTAAAACAAGTTAAACCAGATTGATGCTTAAAGGTTTTTCCATTGCTACTAAAAACATTAAAGATGGGCAATATTATTCTTTTTGTGTATTATTTAATTTTTTTCTGGCACCATATGAGGTTGAATTTCATATATTTCTGTTGTTTCTATTGATTAGAACTCTATTTTGCACCAATAAAGCATTGTGAATACAATAAGTCTCTTCATGCCTGTTTAAAGACCAGATTTAATTTAGTCCCTCTCTATTTGTTTTCTTTGATAGAAATTGAGGCATTCATATTTATAACCCTTTTGTTTTTCAGCATCTCCCAGATGGCTCTCCCCCAACTGCACATGCTGAATTTTATCTTTTACCAGATCCCAATGAAGTCAGTAGGAGGAAAACAAAAGCAGTTCCAAAAAGCACTGACCCTACTTATAATGAAATTGTGAGTGATATCCATTTTCTTGCCTCCTTTCTTGTTTTTCTTGTCTACTCCTTTACTGTAATAACATTACTGCAGTATTGAGAGCTGCAAAAACTGGTACAGTCAAATAACAGGGATGTATCCAAAGGTGAAGCATAAATGTTAATGGTCTTCTGTTTTGCTTCCCCTGCTCAGTGGCAAGACAGAATCTTTATGCGTCTTTCTTTAGGAAAACATTGGTTTGCTGTTCAATCCTGTACTGTGATTATAATTCCAAATTAGAGCACTAAACCTGAACATCCATTGCACTAAAAGTAAGCTTAACTCTTTATTCACATTTATGCTATAACATAAAATACAAAATGAATTAATATATTAATTCTATCTTGTATATATAAAATAGACAACTGAACTAGCTTTCTACTCTGTTAAATAATAGCAGAAATAACAAATGCCTCTTTTTTTCATGCCAAAGTGCTGATGTTATAGACCTGCATGTAATACTTCATTTACCATTGAAGTACAGGCAACTCGGAGGCAAAAGGCAACAGCAGTACAGCACCACAGAGGAATAGGCAGGGAGGAAAGAAGACATGCCTACTTATACAGTAGGTAAATGTAAGACAAGAATAGGTTTTAGGGCACATATCAAGTTAATCATCTGGGATTAGAATCCATGTCTTTTTTTTCCTAGTCCTGTATTTCTAGACAGTATTCTTATTTCATATAAAATTGATTGTTGGACATATTTAGTTCTACTGTATACTTTCAGTGCATGCTGTAAGCAGATGACATTTACACTAATAGCTGAAGTTGGTAGAAGTTGATCCTTTGCCTCCCTGTGTCACCACCAGTCAAATTAAATGGAAATGGACTTATCCAATGTGTTCTATCAACTTTTGCTATTAAAGTTAGAATGAAATAGGGTTACCTGAGGTTGACCTGTCAGAAAAGCACTTCCTATATATTAAAAATGCCTTATATATATATATACAGGAAACCCTCGCTATTCGCGGGTTCAGCATTCGCGGTTTCAAATATTCACGAATGCCAAAACCCACATTTTAAATACCCTTTATACACTTACAGGAGCTCCTTGGGAGCTCTGCACTTGCTGCCACTGGGCTTCTGCTGCCGCCGCCGGGCTCCCACCACCGCCGCTGCTCTCCTGCCATCGCCGCCGGAGCCATATGTGTCCCCCCACAGCCGCTGGGAGCACTGTGTTCATGAATGCAGACTGTGTTCATGAACACAGTGCCTTATTCATGGATTTCACCATTCATGGGGATACAAGAACGTATACCCTGTGAATGGCAAGGATTGCCTGTACTGGCTTCATCATGAAATTCTCCACTTTTGTGATGGAGAGTGACAAGCAACCTGGCAGGGAAATTAATTTTGGCCTAGGACAGATGAGAAACCTTTTCCACTTATGAAAAGTGCCATACTCTATGCATTCTCTGGATTTTAACCCCCACACACATGCTACTTGATGCTACAACATCTACTTCACAAGTTTAGATGGCCTCACTGAAGACGTGTAGTTTCGTAGACTTTGGATGTGTCTACACGTGCATTTGATCTGGGTGCAATTTACCCATGAGTAAACTACTTGCAAGTGAATGCTTCTGGGTAGGCCTCTACACATGTAGGGTCTCGGGAACAGATTTTCTGCTTATGGCAGCAATCTGCCCCCACGTCCGCTGGCCCTTCACCAGCCCCCTACAGCAGCCAGGGGGAGCTCTAGGCTGGCAGAGAGCATAGGGCTGACAGACAGCTGTCTCCTGGTAGGGGCTGGGAGATTGTTCCCTGCCCCCAGGGGTCTGCCTGTGCTGGGGCCTTGCACCTCTTTACAAGCCCTGCACCTCGATCACTCAGTTGGAGCATAGGGCTGGGACCTGCCCCTGACTGGGACAGTTCCCATCTGCTGAGCTGGAGAGCCTCCACAATCACAGAGCTAGGCAGGGAACAGGCTCTCCAGCCCCTGCCACCTGGGGAGCAAGGGCTCTGAGATCAGGGAGTGGGGATTGGTAAATCCTTCTCTCCCAGTGCCAACTCTGCAGTTGTGGAGCTGGAGCTGAGAGATCTTTATCTTCCAGTCCAAGCCCCATGGTCATGGAGCTGGTGCTGGTAGAGAAGGATCTCCCACCCTGGGCCCCACAACCCTGGGGCTCAGGCTAGGAGATAAAGATCTCCCAGTCTTGGCCCCACGATCATGGAATGAGAGCTGGGAGCTCCCTCCTGCTGGGGCAGGGGGACATTGTCCCCACTTCCTAGCAACAGCAGCTCCTGGGGCAGGGAGCAATCTCTTGCCCCATGCTGTCCAGCTGACCAGAAGAACATTTGCTCCTGCTCAGGGGTCTACACATGCACTACTGCTCAGTTACTTATCTTGAGTAAATTTGGTACTTGCATTTTCAGGTAGCAAATTTACTCATGATTAGAGCTAATTACTGTGCAGTAAACATTTGCACGTGTAGACACAGACACTTACTGTGCAGTAATTAGCTCTACTGCACCATAAAACATCTCATGTAGATGCACACTCTGAGTGTTTCATACCTGAAGATTTTAACACTATTTAACAACCGCTATGGTTATTCTACTTCATGTGATGCTATTTGGCATGCATTTTTCATGCATGCAATTATAGGACTGATACAGAAGTTGTGAGCCCCAGGGTATCAAAAAGAACAACTAAAACATGAATCAGCTTTCTTTTAAGCTAGTTACAGTCCAAAAGGCTGCATCAAGAAATGTACTACCTTTTTTATTTCAGTTCATGGGCTTTTATTTAAGACAAAAACCCAGAAGTCAATTGTATATTTAATTTTTCTCTCTATTTGAGTTTGACATTTTTTTTAAATATTCCTCTCTGTGGTATTTTTGGTTTTAGTTTTGCAGTTTGGTTTTGTGTAACTGCCTGCAGCAAATTATATGCCTTATAAAAAAACTTATTTTTGTTTTCTTTTTTCTGCATGTGTAAAGCTGTGATGATATGAAAGTCTAGGAAAGTGACACTAACACTGGGGGTTTTTTTGTTTGTTTGTTTTTTGGAGATGCCTATAATGTGGATATATTTTTGCTACTCATGTTGGATTTTGGAGTTTATTGCATTGAAAAAAATGTAATCTTGATTTAGAGGAATGCATTAAAAAGAGATGAGGAGGAGTGTAAACAAGATAAGGAGAAATAGAATGGAGAAAAAGAGATGCATGGTCAGAGAAAGAGAATTACTGATATTGTGACACATGAAGAGGAACGAGCCAGCATCATTCAGGAAGTCCAAAGATTCTCTTTGTTTGTGAAAACAGTTGCAAGAAGCAAGTAAGAAGAATGCAACAAACAGAATTAAGCCTAAAGAATTCAGACTTCCCAACAGCAGTGCTGTGAAACTTCCACCTGATAAAAAGAAAAATGAATGGAGCGTAAAGCATTATTGCCCCTTTAAAACATTTGTTTGGTGACTCTTGGTGGAACTCAGGGTTGTGTCCCCATGAGCAGAAATGTGTATTTACCTGGGGACAAATAGCAGTGGCACACTTTGTGCCACTGCTACTTGTCCCTGGGTAAAGCCTGTGCCACACACTCTGGCATGCAACAGGTTGCCCTGAGTGGGGTAGGGGAGGTTGGGGCCAGCAATTGTGCTGACCCCAGCAGCCTTACCTGGGGTCAGGCTGCTCCAACTGGATTCCACATGCTGTGCATGAATATGCTCCAGATTTTTTTTGTTCCCAGGTATACGTTAAAGTGGTGTGCTCAGGAGCAAAAGACCTGTTGCATTCTCCGGTTTTTTAATCCAAGAATGCAATGTTCATATTCCATAATTAACCTTAGTGTGTTCATATAGGGTATGCGTATAGTTATGTTTGTCTAAACGTCCATCTGTGCAGATATTGGGGGGGGGGAATTAAATCAGGCCAAAAATGGTGGGCACAATATGAGGCAGTTCACCTCAGAAGGTAAACTAACTTAGATTGGAACAGCTTAGCCTGATCTGTCAAAAGACTGCACATGTTTGGAGCGCAGCCTCCCAGGTTGGGAAATCCTAGCTGCTTGCTTCACCCATAGTGTTGCACTCTTCCTACATCCCCCCCTGCAGACTCATCAACCCCCATCCCCAATCCTGCAAACTCCCCCATGGACATGCTAGCCCTCCCGGACAACCCTGCCCATCCTCCTCTCCCCCCACCAAGTTTCTTACGCCAGGTTCTCAGCAGAGTTTGCAGCACCAATGAACATTTGCACATGCCACTCCTGATCTATGATTATGAGGCTTAAAGCTATAGACCAGGTGTGGTGAATGTACATACCCATAGTATCAAGAATAGGCTTTTAACTGTTATTCTTTGTAATTTTCTAAAGAGTTGTTCACTAAGCTTTCTCACTAAACAGAAGAACATCCTAATACTGATAATACCAGCTATCTTTTGAGTTCTGTTTACCTCAAATTGACCCCAGTCCTCTGACTGTATCACATCCATAGTTTTTACTGGGCTGGCTAAGTCCCTTGTATTTAACATGTTAGTGATGATACCATTTAAGTACATATATTACTTATAGAGTTCACATTTGGACGCTAAGTGTGTGGACACACAAAAGCTTGAAGCCCTTTCCAAGAAGGAATGTTTCAAAAGGGCAGCAGCTGGTAAATTTTAATTGTCATGTGTGAACAAGCAGAGAATGATTCAAAAGCAGTAAAATCACTCCGACTTTGACCCTTGATGGAAGAATGTTAAAGTTGGAGCAGTTTTGCTGCATCTGAATCATTGTCAGCTTGTTCACACAGAAGAATTAAACTTTACCAGCTGCTGCCCTTTTCAAATGTTTCTCTTTTGAACGGGTTCCAGGTTCTTATATGTCTACACCCTGATAGCAAGAAGATTCCAGATTTACTCCCTAAACATCTTTGCACCCCACAAATAGCATTTATACAAGCAAGGCCAGCAATTTTCAAAGAAGAATTTCCATCTCTCTTTGGTGTATTTCTTTAGCCTTGAACAGTTTGAAATCTTTTAGAAATATTGATGAAAAGAAAATATAGTTGGGGTTTTTTTTAAGAAAAGTCCTTCTATATTTCAACGTTTAATTGGAAATAAACACAGTAAAACACAGATAAAATTCTGAGCTACTGTGTGACTGCATGATGTGCCCACAGGATTTATATGATGATAATGTAAGTTACACTGAACCATTGCAATGCACATATTGTACATACTAAATGAATATGAAAAAAACGAAACTGAAACAAACAGTACTAGCTCGTCTTAATTTTGATGTAAGAATAACATCATCTTTCAAAGGAGTTTTATGGTTGCTAAAACAACAACTTGTATATTTTTCTCAAATCATCTGTCTGTCCATGTTAGGGTTTTATACTGTGCAACCCATCACTTCATCTGAAAACAGACATCAACTTTTTGCCACCATAAAAACTTTTATGGTGGCCCAAAACCTAAACAAACAGATGGCAAAGTCTCTTGTCACACCACAAATGCCCAAATTGTGGCGCAACAATAGGTGGTATAAATGTGTACCACTTTTTTTACAGTGGACATTTGTTTTCTTTCTGTTGGAAGAGTGTGGGCAGCCCAGAGCTGCCTGCACTCTCCAGCCACCATGGGCAGGTCTCTCCTGCAGGGGAATTCCTGGCAGGATCCAGCCACTGAAGTCCTGGGAGTGCCTGCCCGGGTTCCCCTGCTTATGAAGGTGCACCCTGGGACTCCCCCTGAGAATCCTCCCAATAGGAGATTCCCCGAGTGTATCACACTGCAAATCCCTACTTGTGACATGGTTCTGCAAATGGGGGAACTGTAGCAAGGGATTCCCCAGGTGTATCTATTAGGTTGCCATGCCCCTACTCAGGGTGCACCCCAGGGTTCACCCATTTGCAGAGGTACACCCTGAGTTGGTTCCTCCATTCACAGTTGTCTCACAGGATCAGGCCTAGGAAGCCCCAGAAGTAGCAGGGGCCTGTCTCTACCAAACAACAGGTGATGTCTGTGTTGCCCAATGAAGTGGGCCACCTCTTCTGGGACAAATCCTGGGACAGATGATCCCACTCGAAGAACAGCAACAGTTTATAGCGTTTGTTATCCAAGTGCCTTTTGTAAAAAAACAATAGCAATAGCAAAGTCTTTGGGCTTTAAAAAATCTCTGGTATTTCTCTCTGCTTAGAGTCAAAATGCTGCTTGCAGTATGGGTTTTTTTGTTTTTGTTTTTGCAGAGAGCAGATTGCATGCTTTTTATTTTTTTTTCTCTGAGAATTCATGGTGGATTAAAAGTCCAGGTTTAAAACTTCCTGGCAGATGCTCAGTTGTTCAAGTTTAGTAGCCTAAGCTAACGGAAGCTCTTTTATTTCAAATATGTGTAAGGCCAAATTTGTCTCTAATCTAAGTTTGTTGACTTTGGTGCATTTGGTTCATAGTTTGTCGTTTGAGACTCACAATGTCAGTTTAAATCAAACCTAGAGTTTTGATGCGGGTTTTTTAATATAAGTAATATATGCAAATAAATGGTTTGAGCTATCTAAAATATTATTTTTTCTTATTTTTTTCTGCTTTACTCTATATGATTGCAGGTTGTTTATGATGCTGTAACAGAACTCCAAGGACGTGTGCTAAAGCTTGTTGTGAAAAGCAAAGGAACATTTGTGGGAGCTATTAACATTCAACTAAACAGTGTCCGGTTAAATGAAGAAAAGTGGTACCCATTGGGGAACAGTATAATTTGAATATTGCCTTGGACAATTACATTATTTATTCATTAATATTTCTTTGTCTGTTTCTTATGAGCAATATTGTTATATTACCTGACATATTTGCCTTTGAGAGTATAATGTACAGTAGGCCACTAACCACATACATTAAGTTACTAATCCCAAGGAAAGTATAAGCACTTTTTTATGGCCCATTGCCATTCAGCTCTCTCCATATATTTGCTATCCTCTACTTGAAACAAGTTTCCATTAGCATGGGTATAAGAAGGCATATGCCAGTATCTTGCAGCATTCAGTTGCAGTTACCTGGGGCAACTTTTTCTATGGCAACAGGTAAGATTTTTGTTCCTACTGAACACTGTTGGTCATATACTGCTAGATGTGTTTTGTATAAAAACTAAAATCAAAGTGTGGCTGGAACCTGATCCAAAGCCAGTTTAAGTCAATGGTAGTCTCCCATTGAGTTGAATAGACTTAGGATCAAGCCAACATTAAACTTTTTGATCCGAGTTCATTCTTGTTGTGGTTACTTTGATAATGGCAGAGTTATGGCATTGATATAGGTCTTATTTAGGAGTCCCCTGTGGCTCAGTGGTAGAATCCTTATCTACTGCATAGGAGACCTGCGTTCAATTCCCAGACACTTATACAGTTGCAGCCATGGAGGCACCAAACATCTGGACCCAGGCTGGTCATTGGATTCTGTCTCAGTGGCTTAAAAGAAGCATGGTAGGTCTGGGCAGCGTCCACTCCTCCCAAAAAAAATCCTGTCTAGGCATATGCATCGAAGGTCTGGGTGGCCCTCATGCATATGCCATGATCCAGGACAATTGATGTTTGCCACCATATATGGTTCATTTAACAGAGCAACATGAGAGATCATGAAGGAACTGGAACTCAGAAGTCAGGATATTTCAAACTTCTAACATATTTCACATTTAAAATATTGTTAACTGCAGATTTGGAAAAAAATAATTAAAATATAGTGTGTGCCATGTATTTGTATGTTATAACTTGCTGACATGTATTGCAACTTGTAGACTTATGATGCTCACTGGAAACAAGATATTTCATTTCACTTGCTTACTCTAGCAATTTTATCCTTTTGATAACTTAATAAATCTTCCTAAAAAGACTTTAAGCAGTATTTAAATCCTGTATTCCCTATAGAATCTGAAGCAGTTTCCAAAAATCAATGTTTTTAATTATCACAAAGTACATAAATGAAATAAGTCAATTTAACTTTTCAGCGTAACAATTATTTATTGTAAGACCAAGTTATAGAAAGTCTTTGTTTATTAGTATCCTTTCATTGCAAGCTTTTGCTGTATCAGGGAAATGAAACAATGCACAGACGAGCCCCAGTTCTGTAGAAACTTATACATATCCTTTATAACACACAAGTAATTCCATTCAGTTCAATAGGCCTAATAATGAGCTCCATCCTTCAAGCTTTTTTTGCTCATATCTTTAAATTTAAGCATGGGAGTAGCCACAATGAATTCATTGAGTCCACTAAAGGCAACAGTATAAATGAGCCTCATATGCATAATATGAGCCTCGTTTAGCATGAATATAAATCTTTTCAAGACTTGTAATACATGGTTATAACAAAGGAAGTATATTGATTCACATGATTGGTTTCAAGATCAAATTTAATATATATATTGGATAGGGTTGAGATTTATCATGCCAGCTGGAAAAGTGGCTGACAATGGGGGACAAAGTCCAAAGCTGAAGGAAATTGCTTTTCTCTACACAAACAACAGTAGATTTAAGACTCGCAAGAAAGGCTTGAGCTGTAGTTTTGTTGTTGCAGGCTCCGTGTCATTTAAACATACAAAGTGAATCCAGTATAAGATGGAGTTGTTCTTAACACCAAGCAGATTGGTCATGTCAGTTGCCTTGGTCAACTCTTGGAACTGAGCCACCATGTTGCCTGGGGAAATTAAATTCCTTGTCAGTAACAAGAGAGGACCTGCTTGAGCCGAACCAATTCCACACTGCTGAAGAAAAGCTTTAAAATATTTACCACATGAAAAGAGTACTGGTTACCACACAGATATACGCAGTGCAGTGATCAACAAGACCAAACATTTTAAACTATAGGTTTTCTCGGCTAAAAAAGCAAGTGATTGCCCTTTCTGAAATACAGAAGCTGCATCTCATGCAGCTTTTAGTTGTTATCAAATTACCTGACCCTAAGGTTCAGAATTGATTTCAGATTCCTCTCAGCTTACTGTCTTAAGCCCTTACTTTGCCTTTAATGTAAATAAATGCTGGCAAATTTTCAATAGTGTTATTTCCTGTGACATTTTTTAAATTGTTGCCCATAATACATATAGAATCTTCTATTTAAAATATTTTTATATATAAAGAATATATATAAAGGATATCATAATAAAGTAGTATTAAAAAGACAGTGAAAATCAGATTTAACTACAAAACTAATAATTTACATTAGGTATCATAATGAAGATATCTGCCATTATAAAGTGCTTTGAAAAGCAGTGGCTTTTCAAAGCTTGCGGAGCCAAGCTTAGGCTCCACATTTGCAGTGAGTTCTCTGCATGTGGACACCAGTGTCCACATGGGTTTCATCCCACAAAGTAATTTTGAGGAAAGTGAGAAATAGTTTGTCTTTATGGGAAAATGAGAGCTATGTTGAGAGAAATTACAGACAGAAGCATTTGGGGTGCTTACTCATTTTAAATCTTGGTTTCTTCTAAATGCAACATTTCTAAGTAGTTCTCTTGCACTTGCATAAATAGTACAATGGGTTGTGATGAGGTCTATCTCTAGCTGAAGCTGTTCTTATTACAGATTTAAAGATTAAGTTGTGTGTGTGTAGTTTTCCTGCTTTCTCTTTTTTTCTTGAATGGTCTAATGCACACATTTCATTATTGCAAATAGAAAAAATGATTATGTCTTGCTAATGATTTTGGATGACTTATACCATTATTACTTTCCTATTATTTAATATGTAGCACTATAAGGGGGTCTCCCAGAGGAAGGGAGGCAGAGTGGCTGACTCCCTGACAGTTCACCCAGCCCCAGCAAGCTGTCACAGAGCCCTGCTGGGACTGGTACTGCTGTCCCTGCAGAGGCAGAAAGGACTGCTGCAGTGGGCTGGCTTCAAGGGGAGGTAGCCTTAAAAGGTGATGCCATTGCCATGTGGGGTAGCTGCAGAAAAAGGCTGCCTCCACAGGGGCATCCACAGCTGATGAGGCTGCCGTTTCAGCTCCAGCCCTTTCTGGCAGCACTGCTTCTAGGTGATCCAATAAGACGGCTGCCTTTGCATAGCAGGAGGCAACTGGATTCTATGAGGAATGCCCCCACAATGGGGAGGCAGCCCAAACAGCTGATCCCACCCACTCCCTTGCCAGAAATTGGAGGAAGCTGTCAAACGCAGCCTGGGGGATGGGAGGCTAGCTTTGACTGCTGCTGCATGTTTGGGAGCAGCAAATTGAAGCAGCAGCTGCCAGCAGATCACTTACAGTTCTCCCCCATCCAGTTTCTCTGCAGACAAGCCGTTAGTGGTTGGGCTTACTGACAGGCTTCCCAGGGCAGGAGGAGCCAAGGGGAAGCCCCTTCTCTCTAGCTGGACACTGCATCTCACAGAGACTGTGTAGCACTCCAGCCAGGGAGCTGTGCATGTTTACAGACCTCTTCAGTGCTTTATTTCTGTAGCACTACAAATGAACTTGTGTCCATGGCCTTAAGTTGCTTCTCTGTTGTTGCAAATAATCATATTTTTAGTTGTGGTTTGAAAAAATGTACTGAAAAAATCAATCCCTGTGGGACTCATTATTTTGGGGCCTAATTCAGTAGCCCTTATTTCTTTTGACTAGCATTTACTATTCCTCCTCACAAGCTCCTCCAAGACGGTTTCAGACCGGACATAAGGAAGAACTTCTTTACTGTCCCGAGCCCCCAAGGCCTGGAACAGACTGCTGCCAGAGGTAGTGCAAGCACCTACTCTGGACTCCTTTAAGAGACATTTGGATGTTTATCTTTCTGGGATCCTTTGATCCCAGCTGACTTCCTGCCCCTGGGGCAGGGGGCTGGACTCGATGATCTTCCAAGGTCCCTTCCAGCCCTAATGTCTATGAAATCTATGAAATCTACTATCACAAATAGTCTTGTTGACATAAATAAGAATTACAGATGCCCAGCACCTCTGAAAAGCAAGCCACTTAGTTAGCAAATTGATAGTTGCAAGCTACATGCTGGTTGCTTTATTACGAGGCGTGCCAGTTCAGGATACTGCTAGTACGATCCTTAATAGTACCAAATGTACACAAAAAGTGATGCAGGGTCAAGTCTGTCACCGAGTTTAGAATACAGAGGAACATGACGATAACCTGCAAATGTAATAATATTCCATTAATATAGTAAACACAAATATGGAGAGTCCTGTATCAGAGCTTGTAGAATTTACCATAATCATGAAGTATAATTTACAATTATATAAACACATCTTTTAAATAAAGGAAACCAAATTTTCCTCACTTTTCAACATTAAAGTTTATTAGGCATCTAAAGTGGTGGTTCTGTGAATGCCCTGCCAGGGTCTCAGGTCTAGAGAAGGCTCAGCAAATCACTGCCAAAACCCTACAGATTCACAGATTAGGAACTGGGGCTGGGAGCTTGTTCCCAGGCCTTGCTGTGTGATCATGGAGCAGGGGATTGGAACAAGCTCTCCAACCCCAACTCCATGATTGCAGTTGTGATCACAGAGCAGGGTCTGCAAACTCCCTGAATGGGGACAGTTCCCCTCCAGCCTGGAGCTGGCTGGGACCTGCCCCTGATTGGGACAATTCCCAGCCAGCCTCAGGCTGCATGGGGAAGCATGTGCAGCCTGATGGTGGCTGGGACTGTTATGTTTCGGACAGTCTCCAGCTAGCCCTGAGCTGCACGTGCAGACTTCCCCATGCAGGCCAGAGCTGGCCTGGAACTGTCCCAGTCAGGGGCAAGTCCCAGCTCCATGCCCCAGTTGGGTGATCAAGACCCAG